CTGAGCCTCCTGTGCCTCCTGCTGTCCTGGGCCCCTGGGTCCTGACCACGCCCCAGTGGACCCTCCCAGCTCCCTCCTGTCCCTGCAGGGTTTGTGTCTGGGCTCACACCTGCTTCCTTCACTGTGTCTTGCACAGTAATACAGGGCCGTGTCCTCGGGCTTCAGGCTGTTCATCTGCAGATACAGCGAGTTCTTGCCATTGTCTCTGGAGATGGTGAATCGGCCCTTCACGGAGTCCGCGTAGCCGGTGCTACCACCATTGTTATTGATACCTGCAACCCACTGTCGCCCCTTCCCTGGGGCCTGGCGGACCCAGTACATCCAGTAGCTGCTGAAGTAAAATCCGGAGGCTGCACAGGAGAGTCTGAGAGACTCCCCAGGCTGCACCAAGTCTCCCCCAGACTCCACCAGCTTCTCCTCACACTGGACACCTGCAAACACACACACAGCAGTCAGGACACTGGCTCACGGCCACTGCTTTCCCCCTCCTGTCCCCTCCCCTCCTCATGGTCTCCAACGCCCAGCACTGACCCCCTAGAAGAGCCAGGAGGAGTAACCAGCTCAGCCCACGCTCCATGGTGAGTGTCCGCATCTGTCCTGACCCGAGTGGACCCTGGATCCCGGCTGGGCTCCTGTGCAGAGCTGCAGGGCCTGGTTGGGCTGTTTTCAGCAGCAGGGGACGGCCCTATTTGCATGTGTCTTGCCATATAGCAGACTCTGGCTGGAGGCTGGGACAGAGGAGCCCAGGGAGGGTCCTGGGCTTAAGGGGTCATAACACATTATCCGCAGGTGCCATATTAGGGGCAGAGCTCGTGACCACTGAGCACTGGTCACTTGTTTACATGGAGGCCCAGGACTGTCAGATGCATTAGGTGACAATATTTCCCTTTTGAATATAGTGCTTTTTATTTGCGGATAATTTCTTTCACTTTGTGTCTCTCTCATAGTTTGGATTAACCCCATTTGTTTATTTTTATTTCTCCATGTCTCATCCATGTGAATATCCCAAAGCCAAGCCGCAGTGTCTGGACTTTTCCTTTCCTGTGCTGATGCAGTTTATTTCCACAACCTCATAGAGGGAAGCGCCCACCTGCCCGGCGCCAGAGGCTCGGTCCAGGGAAACAGGCACATGGATGCCAGGACGCGCCGGTCAGCCGTGGGGGTCACACGCGCTGGACGGGACCTTACCCATCAGCGCCGGAGACAAAACCTGCGCGGCAGGAGCCAAGGGAGGAGAAGCCGAAGGGCGGGAGCGTCGGGGCGGCTCAGGGCGCTGGCAGGGGCGGCGGGCCCGAGGCTCGGTGCTGGGCGCTGAGGCGGCTGTGGCTGACGACTCCCCGTCACGCCCTGTGAGGAGCCGTCTCCTGGGCGTGTGGTTGTTCTCTCTCCCGGTGCCTCCGTCGCTCTCCGTGTCTCAGCCATCTCTGAGGAAAACCGCGGACCCGACGGCCACCAGCCTCGTCCCTGCAGACAGCGCACACATTCGGAGTCCATCATTTTGCGTAAATGCTCTGAAAACTGAGGAAATCCCAGCTCCCAGCTCCGGGCGACCCTGACCCTCTGTCTTGTCTTCACACCGTGGTCCTGCTCCACCTGCTGGCCCCTGTTCAGCCCCCAGTCCCGCTGGGCTCCTGCCCTGTCCAGCTGGGCTCCCGTCCCGTCCACAAGGGTCCCCTGCACACGAGGCTGTTCACCCCCGTGTGTGCGGCCTGCTGTCCCCCGCTGCCCCGGGCCCCGCCCTTTCAGACAGTGGCCCCGTCCGGGCGGCTGCCCAGGTCCTCCTGCCCCGTGTCAGGGTCTCTGCCCACCGCACCCCTTTCTCGTGGCCCGGCCCCACTGTCCGCATAGGTCTTGGGAGGCGCTGGACCAGGCCTCCGCTCCCCTAGATGTGCTACTGCTGTGGGGTCCGGCATTGGGGACAGGTGACTGTCAGAAGCTTCCTGTCTTTTCGGGGTCCTCTTTGGTGACTCAGTTCTGGCCTCACCCACTCCATAGAGCGCTGGCTGGCGCCGCCCAGTGGCCGCATCCGGGATTGCACGTGCCACAGAGGCCTAATGGGGGGAGGGGCTTGTGGACCAGGACCCCTCACTCCCTCAGGGAAATGGGAGACACCATGGCCCAGTGTCCTCAGGATGTTCCGGCCGGTTCCAACCCGGAAGAGCCCGTAGCGCTCAGTAAGTGTCCCCCAGACGCCGGCTCTAGTTCGGCCATCGGCCCCGTGGGACGCGTTACCGGAGGAGGCCGCTGGCCCCAGGGTTGAGCCGGCTCCGCGGACAGCGCCCGGTGCTGCACTCATCAAGTCTGGCGGCGACCTGGCCGCCATGATTCTCACGCCCAGACTGGCCCCAGGGCTCCTTGCCTGGCCACGGACTATGCCCTTTGCGGGTGACCACCCAGCCCGGGACCAGCCTGCCCTGGCCATCCATGGGCACACCCGAAGGAATATGAACCCCAAGAACCTCCTCCTGTGTTGTGACTCCCATGCACTGAGGCCTCAGAGCACCTCACCCTGCGACCTTGTCCCGCTCCGTCCACACCACTGCTGTGCCGCCACTGGGCAGGGTCAGCGTAGGCTTGGGCAGAGGGAGTGAAAAGCTTGGGCCTGAGAGTGTCCTGGGATTAGCCTGAGACAGGGACCAGGGGCCAGGGCAGGTGGCCATGAGGGACGGGGAGCCTGGCCAGCGGCTCCTCCTCGGCTCC